TGCACCGGTGGCAACCTAAACCCACTGCCGCCATTGGTACCCTGAAAATGAAGGCATGCATCATTGCAGCAGTCACCGAGTAAACGTAGTGTCACCCACATGATCAACACTCCAGAGGCTCGGAAGATGTCAGTCAATACAGTTCTTGAAAAACCTCAGGTATGGCAGTACATGCTTTAATCCCACAATTGGGGAGGGACAGACAGGAAGATGCCTAGGGCTTTCTGGCTAGCGCAGCATCCTGTCCCGTGTAGACGGTGTATGTGTATGAAGCTGTAGCCCCCTTTGCACCATGGAACAGAAAAATGGAGCGTCTGGTGCGTCCCCGAGGTCTCAGGTGCTATGGTGCAAAACAGGAGAACTCTAGAGATCTCGTATGTACAATGGGCTAACCAGAGCTTGCTGTGATTGGCTGTGCCGACCATGAGTGGTCAGAACCGGTGTGTGTGTGGGTGGACTGAAGACCCCAGACCTGAGAGTGAGAAACACAGTCCTCAGGTCTTACAGGCAGTGTGGGACCCCCTGTTCTTTGTTGTCCTACACAACAGTCATCTTCACTGTAGGACTTACAAGGATTGGGCCAGTTGGTTCTGTATGAATCCGCTTTTCCACCCTGTCCTCTGTATTGCAGAGATAAGAGATGGGGCGAAGGATGAGGAGCCTCAGGTCTGTGGGTGGTGAATGGCATAGGTGAGTCCAAATCTGGATTGGAAGCATTTTCTCCTGCAGGTTATCTTTTGAGGTGACATTGTGCAAAAGGTTGAGTGTTGGCGACAGCTATGTCCATAGTCTCCTGATGTATCACATAGTGAGTGGTAGCAGCCTTCAACAGTCTAGGCCGATTATCTTACATGTCTGGAAGTCAAATTTCCAAAGTGGGTCTCTATAGTCGGAAATTACCAATATGGAGTCAGGTAGAAATATAAAGGTATTTAATAGGGAAAAGCCTTACTTACAGAGCGACCTAGCCAGCCAGCGTGGCAGCAGTCTATACTGCAAGTACCAAAGTGAAACTGAAAGAGAAAACGCAGTCACTCTATGTCACCCTGACCACGCCCTCGCAAGCGTGGTCAGGCACACCTGTAGTCAGCCCCTAAGTAGGCGTGGCTACAGCTTCCCCTACAGGTCTCACTGGAAAAAACCAAGTTTCGGTAAAGCCGTATTCCATCTCAACATCCTGGAGAAGAACCCATTTAATTTGGCCTTTTCTGGCTTCTGGAAACTGCTCACAGTGATTGACCCATTGGCTCTTCCCTCTGTCTTTAGCATCGCACTGTCTTTGATTTCAGCTTCCCTTTCTGCCTCCCGCTTTGATGTAAACAAAGCTAGCTATTTCATCTGGGCCACCTGGGTATTCCAGGATTGTCTATTTTAAGGTCACATGATAAATATCTTTTATCTTACTGGCAACTTTAGTTCTTTCATCACTGTTCATGTTCTGTTGCTGTAACAACATGCCCGAGGCTAGGCCACCTGTAAAGGAAAGCCATTGGTTTGAGCTCACCCTTTGGAAAGTCAAAGCCCATCGACAATAACACCTGTTCATTTCTGGTGGGAACCTTCCATGCTTTCTACATGTTTTGAGTGGAAGAAACACACACGTTTGAAAGAACACACGTGACGAGAGAGAGGAAGGAGGAGAGGTTGAGGGTTGACGGCACCCGGGACCCACTAAGCTACCTTAATCCAGCCACGGAGGCAGATCATGCTTCTTGCTTTTGAACTAATCTGAGCCTTGTGGTTCCTGGTTCCTGAGCCTTGTGGTTCCTTCGCTATTCTGGGCTGCACTTCTCCATCTTTAAAGTGGACATGGTAACTATGCAGTGGGCTTTAGAATGCATATGAAGATGGATCGAATCTCCAGGGCCTTCTTTGTTCTGGCCACTCTTCGCCACTCGTTCCAGGAGTGATGTCACTGGGGATGGCTAAGTTTTGACTCTGTAAGAAAGGGCTAGGAACATGGAGAGGCTAAAGCTGGGTGGGAAAATAGTGGCAGAATAGATGTGGAGGTTCTAGGGAGTGGGGTGGTGGGGCAGGCATTTGGGAAGGCCAGGATTTCTGGAGTTTTAAATAGAATAAGGTACAAAGAGAGATAGCTGTATTTTAACTTCCATAACAGCGTGGCTGATGGCTGACCTAGATAGAATGTGTGGTGGCAAAGCTAGGCGTCATTAAATAGAATCTTACATCTGTCCAGGTTGGATCTCAGTATGTCTCGTGAAAATTCATTATGTGATATGGAGCCTCTTCTTCAAAATACCGTAAGCGTGGTCTGGATTTTTTTCTTAAGCCCTCCAACTGATATGGAGCAAGACAGTCAGACACCTTCACCTGAACCAGATCCGTCTCCCTCATCCCCAATGACACCATGGGTCCTCACCAGTGTGTGTGGAGCAAGGTAATTTCTTCCTAAGGGCACTTCTATTGGTAATTTCAAACTGCAAGAGGGTAGGTGACTCTGGCAAGAAACTCTTCCTGAGATAAACAACTGTGGAATGGGATTATTTCAGAGACCCTGAATCCCATCACTGTTCTCTCTTATGTTTGGAAGTAGACAAGGAGCTCCAAGGATGGAGACAGTTTGGTCTACCTGGCTGGAAGAGACGTCCCTGCATCCAAGCAAAGTGAACCCGTGATGAGGAAAGGAAAATGGGGAAAAAAATGATCACATGTATGCAGTATAAAGTTTGTACAATAAAAAAATAATGTCTTTATAAATTTACATTTGCCTTTAAATACCCTGTCTGCCCAAGTGAGAAACTGCTGTCCTCCTTTTGTGTGTGGTAAAGGGAGGTGGAGAACCCAGCCAAAGATGCACACCAGGACCAAAACTAGCAATGATGGTGCAGTCTGGGGCTTCTCCTGAACCCTAAGGCCACCTCTCCTGTGGGGGAGGCAGTTCCTGCAAAACCCGGATTGTCAGATTGGGGAAGAGCTGGAGACTCACCTGGGCCGACAGGAGCAGGTGGTGGTCTTAACTTCGGTGAGAGTCCCAGCTGAAGGTTCTGAGGGTGGAGCCCCAGGAGAATTGAAAGTTGTCCTGCGCCTCTTTGTCCCCACTGGATGCTGAAGAGGGTACCCTGTTTCTTCCAGATACAACCTCATCCTTGTTTGCTGGAGGAAGCCCGTGTGCTTGTTCCTCAAAGTTTCTCATCTTCCGTGAAAGGCACTGGCTGGAGAGCGTGATGTAGCCCGGTTGGTTGCTAGAACACAAAACCCTAGGTTCAACTCCAAGCACCACACAGTCTGGGCATGGTGACACATACCCAGAATTCCAGCACTTGAAAGGTGGAGGCTAGGTTATTACAAGCACAAGATCAGGTCTGGGGAGAAGCATGGTCATTAGAGGGCTAAGTTTGATCCCAGGGACCGATCCAATCCCACAGCTGAGGACACAGAGCTAAGTGGATCCCTGGGCACCACTGGCCTGACAGCCTAGCCTACATGTTGGTGACAAGCAACATGGTGTGCCCCTTGCCCCTGGACCAAATAAATGTATGGAAAATTAAAATTCCCCTTATGAAATACACACAAGATACACAGCATTTCTATAATACAAGAGGATTGAAAGAAGGAAACAAAAAATATTTTCGCCTGCCTACAGAAGATTCGATGCCTCTGATCCCTTTAACTGGTGTTTACATGGACTGATCACTTTCCTTTGTTGGTGAATATACAGTCCCGTCTGAAGAGACTTAAAAAAGGCAGAATCATACGTGGATACTGCCAGCGCTCTTTATAAATGACAGCAGTGATTTTTGAAAGAACAGCTTAAATATTCCATATCTGGAATATTTTCCATATCAGTATCTGGATACTGAGTAATAAATGCTAAAAAAAACCCTCTGCTCATGATGGATAGCTACTTGAACAAATTTAAATACTGGCAAAATCCTCCGTTCATGGCAGGTAACTCTTGCTTTGGTGTGTGACGGTGGCTGGCTTCCAAATATAAGCATTGTTTTAAGAAACTTTATTGATAGTTCTAATGGGCACTGCCTAGACATAATGAAACTTCCCCAAATGCAAGCTCATTAAAAACTGTCTCAGAAACTGTTACATTGACTCAAGCAAAGTCGCTTTGTTTGGCATTTTGTCAATGGAGTGCCTATTGGGTGGCAGCCTTGGCTGTAGAGCATAATTAATGCTTTGGCTGGAAGGAAGGCAAGGACACTGTATGGAGCAAACACAGGATAATTGTGAATTGCTAAAATGAAGCCATTTGATATGTGTGGACTCTGCTCCACTCGTCAGGGTCTGACTCTGGCTGTATGGGGTGGACAGCAGAAGCTGACAGAGCAGAACAAGACCTGGCTTTGAGAATAAGAGTGAGTTGAGTGTGTGAGTGAGGTGCTGGTCCTTCTCCCATGTAGGGCTTTGAAAAAAAAAAAAAAAAAAAAAAAAAAAGGTCTGTACTAGATCCCTTGGTTTATCAATGTGAGTTTGAAGTCAGTTTCATTTCCAGTAAATCACTGTCGGTTCCCTTTTCAGTGAAATAGATACAGTGTCTCCCAACACTGCTGTTAAGATGAAATGTATCAAAAGTAATCTGCTGGAGTCCATTGGGGCTACCATCCCATCTCCATAACACTCTTCTCCACTGACAGCTGGCTGGGTTACTTCCTAATAAACCTATTGTAAATTCACAGTCATAACTCTAACGTGCATTTAGCACACCCAGCCTACTGTGCATCACAGCCTAATCATGCAACACGGTGTAGGGGATTGGCATTTCTCCTCCTGACTGTGGCTAACCGGTGGCCACAGTTCACTGCCCAGACCAGCACCGCGAGGGAGCACTGGGCCCTACATCACCAGCCAGGGAACTGATGAAAATTCAGAGGATAACTCTGACTTAAGTGTTTTGTTTTCTCATCATCATGAAGGTCCCTTCCAGGACATAAGTAGACTGTCTGTTCTTGCATCCTTCCATTCCTTAAGCTCCCCGAACTCCAGGTCCTCACGAGCGATTACTCATCCCCATCTCTGATTGCCTTGAAGGTTCAGAATAATAGGGCACAGTGACTCCCACTCCGCTTGCTCCCTGAAGTAGCCC